AGCGAATGTTCCGCGCTCTAACCGGGCTTGTTGGATGCGGAGGATCCACATGGGGGTTGGGGGTCGGAAAACCTTGATTCCAAACCAGTTGTGCACATGAACTTCATAATCTCGTGGGAAAATGACGTATAAACCTATTGTTGGTCACCGGCTACCATGGGACTGCATCTCCTTACGTTGCTCCACTGCCTTGTTGATTAGACCTTTAGGTCAAAGGCTCTGGTGTGGTTCCCAAAGACAATCACCTGTTTCGGTTTGGGGACCTGGACAGTATCCTAGTCCACTCATAAATTGAATGGTGACTAATTTGTATGGCGCACATATATTTTGGTTCGCCTTTATGCCAATTTTTATATGCCTAAATGATAATAATAATAATCAATAATAATAACATTGGCAAAACCCACTGTCACTAATTGGGTGGGAATATAGCCCTCCTTTTCCAATGTTCAATAAAAGTGTGTTATCTAACATTTTCGTGCATTTTCCATCCGTTCACTATGTCGATGTTGTATATAAACACGTAGTTCTCACTTGAAATTTCATCTCAATTATCCTATATATCTTTGAACATTACTATAGCCCACCTCAAGTTATCGGATGAAGAAAGCATAATAAATGAATTGAAGTCTCCAATGGAAATTATGCACTTTTGTAGATGATTCACTTACTCAATGAATGGAGAAATGCTAGATATTGCACACATGTCGAATATTGAGAAAGAAGAGACGCGCTACAAATTAACGAACACACATCCCATCCTTCAATTTGTCGCCACGTAATTTAAATAAATATGGGAACATTAAGACTGTCGAAATGTTGCGATTATTTCGCCTTCTGGATATCACCAGGTTCATTAGAATCCAATGGTATGCTTTTTTAAGCATATTTCACTGATAAATGGCTTGAGACGTATAGACATATAAACAGTAGTTTTTAAAGTCGTATTTTTATCACACATGAGAAACCAGTGATAAATGATAAAAACAACACTGTAAACCGATAGTAGCTGACCACAACCAAAACAACTTTATATTATTCTGGACAAATTTAATCTTTGTAAGGTATAATTTTTCTACTCTCTTACACTTGATTAATTACTGAACAATGACTAATGTCATATATAATTTAGTCTTTTTATTGCTGATGAAGTTCTGTCGACCAAGTTGCAATGTGACCACTGGTCTGAGTGAATCTTTTATTAGTAGCGACCTTATCACATGAATTAGAAAGTCTATAGAGTATTTAATATATAATTTGAGACACAGTAACTTGGTTACTTAACATTGTATTAGTATTCTACGTGGTAAGTTGGTCATATGCATTATAGAACCTGAAAAATGTGTGCATCGCTTGCGGTTGCTCCACCACATTAGCACAATGAGATGAAATTAATAAGATAAATTCTGTATTAATGGAATTAGTAACTTCAGCAGAAAAAATTAGGTAGAAATAATATAATTCAAGAAAAATGCATAAAGTCGTGGGATATTAAAACGGTATAAAATAATTTTGAATCTTAGAATCTGAGGGAAAAAATGTATCTACATCATTGTGACCAATGATAAAACATACTACTCAACGTCTCCAACAGATTCATTACTATAGTTATGGTAGTTTAAAATAATTTGACTCATTTACTGTGTGCAATTTTACAAACTTGGTTTTAGGTCACATTCCTCAAGCGAGAATTAATTATACTATTTAACTTTTAAGACCAAAATAGCTGTTATTAGATTCAAACCTGTGATATAATGCTTGAAAACTTAACGACTTAACTACTTAAACACCTCTTCGTTAACAAATTGTTATCATTCTGGTACATTCATTATCTTTAAAATTAAAACATGAATTTCAACGAAGGTATCTCTTTTCAACGAATTTATTATCAAGTTGTACAATCGTGTATATATGAAAATTTTGTTTCTGTAAAAGTACTAATCCCATGTTTATCATAATAATAATAATAATAATAATAATAATAATAATAATTTGCAATCGTAAGCTTTTTGAAAACTGTGCTCTCTCTTTGAATTATTGATCATTTAAAAAAAAGTTTGTCTATCGGGTCGCATAACGTCAACTTTTCTAATACATTTTGTTACAATATCTATTCACCTGTAGTTTATTTCTGCAAATAGTACAAATTCTGTCCCGTTTATATTTGTGAAGATTTTTGTAAAAAGTAAAAATTATTTTAGAAACAATTTTCTTAGTGTATTATTATTATTATTATTATTATCAATCATTATCTAGAATTGTGCAAATGAATTAAAATGAAATATTTGACCTAATTTACTGATTAACCTGTATTCACATATACTTGATTTGTTTTGTATTATTACAAGTGCTTTCTCTTTCTTTCTTTCTCCCTATCTATCTGGGTTTTTTGTTTGTTTGTATGTATGTATATTGTGCGAATAGGATATCTTAGACAATAAAAGATACTTACTGGCCTTTTTTAAAATCTTCTTTTATTCACTCTTCCTTCTTATTCTTTTCTCTATGTAAACAGCTGCATGGATTACTCGTAGTCTAGGTGATTAGTAAAAGAGAAGAATTTTCTTCGAGTTAATTCATATATATATATATATATATATATATATATATATATATATATATATATATATGTCGCCTTCTCTATTCTTTTCACTATAACTAGTTTTCCCCAGTGTTAAATGTGATATTCAGTTTATCCCTGTAGGGAGGTAGGCAGTATCAATACCTCACCTCTGTCCCTTGTTATATATATATACATGCGCATAGTAATTGATAATTTGACTTGGTGCACAAACCAAAAATATAAATTAATGGTTTGCACATCTGTGCTTTCGATTGTTTTTTAAAAAAGGATTTTTTTAGAGATTGCACTGTCTTTTAACCGATTCCTCTCAGTACGAGTACAAATATATGTCTGTGTGTGTGTGTGTGTGTGCATGTATCATATGAAATTTTCTGCTGACTTCGTGAAAATTTTCGTCTCTTCACTGTTTGCTCTAGAAAATCTTTCTTCTGTTCTTTTTTTGCTTCAAAAAATAATCAGTCTTCAACTATTTCATGAATTACCTGTATTTATACTGATAATTTATGTGATCGTATTTGTACGTTTGTTTTACGCCTTTGTCTTCACCTTATCATCTCAATATCTCTTGCTAGTTTTCTTTCTTGAAATGCATAATTTAATCACTTTGGTTATTTGTATTCATCATCACCGTCAGCACATAATATTAACAACAATAATTGTTATTACTATTTTATAATCTTCATTTATGATTATTACGACGATATGCACAAAGGCAAACTATGTCTGTTTTATAGGTCAACGTGTGTCTTCAAATAATCAGATATAATAAATATAGCTGTAGTCATAAACGAGTAATTTTTTCCACTCTTTTCTCTCATTGTTTCTGATCTATTTTCTCCTTCATCCTCATCCATCTTCTGATTGACGACGTTGATTTCATCGGTGATTGTCACCACCTTGTTTTTGAAACCCCTCAACTGATATTTTCTTATTGTTCTGTCTTCTTTATGTTACTGAATTTGTACAGATTCATATTCTACTTTTCTTCTGTGAAGAAGTAATAATGCGTTCTTACTATTTTAAAGAGAAAGTTTTTTGGTTTGTGGAAAAGGGTTTCGATAAATTCGTTAACAAAATTTCAATAATATAATGTGTTACGATCGTTTATCAATTATGTAGTTAATTACTGTCGTCTTAAATCGTTCTTGACAAACCATACACCTATGTATATATAAATAGATTATTGGTTATTTTAAAAAAATTATTTTAACTTAATCATATTTTTATACTTTATATTTGATAAGAATTAGTCGGATTAGTTCAGTAAGGGGATCTATATTGACTACACTCGCATAACCTTGGTGTTTTAACTATTAACCTGTCGAGTATTTAGATCTACTTCATAGACATTTTCATTATTTATATCAGACATGTTATTAATTCAGTTATTATTTGAAAGTCTGCCTCGTTTATTCGTTTTTAGACCGAACTTTTTATTCATACTGACCGATTTTATATTTATGTATTTGAACACAAATACTGGTACAAAGGGGTACCGAGTACAAATGCGCCACACAAGTCACTTGATTTGTGTGTGGGCTATGATACTGCCTGGGTGCCCAAACCGAAGCGGATGGTTTTCTTATGAGTCAGTCTGACTGACACCCGGAGCCTTCGACCTAAAGTTTTGATCCACGTGGCAGTGGAGCAACGTCAGGAGATGCAGTCCCATGGTAGCCATTTTTCCCTCAGGACACTGGAGACCATGTGCACCATTGGTTTAGATTCAAGGTTTTCCAACTCCCCTAGGTGAACTCTCCGTGGACATTAACCCGGTTAAAGCACCGGACATTTGCTTTTCATCTTTTCAATTTCTTAAACGACATTCCCGCCACGAGAAGGCAGTGGGTAGGACTTCCCTGGCAAACTCTGTATACGCGTGGCCATGTGAGAGCATTTCGAGAGGGGGAGAGTTGACACTCCCCACCCTCGGCCATACCAGGGCATTTGGTAGCTTTGACTGAACATCAACATATCTGTTCTTTCGTATTATTGTGTATAGAAAAGCTCTTCCATACTATGTTGTTATATACAGATTCATAATTGAACTGAAACAACAAACCTCTTGACATAATCTGGTACTTGAATTTCTCACTTTGTTACTTAACCTGTTTACTAATATCTCAACTAAACTATGCGGCAAATAACTCATTTTCTTACTGTACAGAAAATCAACGATTGAACATGATTAAGCAAGTGTTTAATATCGATTCGTTTTAGACCTTTATATTCGATATTTTTGGTTATTTCTGCGTAGAAGCGCTGTGATAATCTCAACAATAATATCTCCTGTATATACTTGACGTCTAATTTCTGTCAAACTGTTTGTTCAGATTTTAAAGAATTTTCATCATATATACTATTTTACGATTGTGCTAGTGAGATTAACATTTCTTTAAAAAAAAACTCATTTTAGCTTTACGATTCTATGCTTGGTGGTATCAAAGATCCAAACAGTTCAACTGTCAGTGAAAATGATATTTGTTCTCGGTTATCATCGACTCATACAACTCCATCATCAAATTTATTAACTGGTGGAAATTACAATTGTCCACCGATAACTACACCTTTGTCATCATCATCATCAATGTCATTATCTTCACGGAATAGATCAAACATAGAATCGATCGTTCGAACTGATCATATTCATGACAATCGTGATCCTTGTATTTACACAAATTTAAATGTTGTTCCTGTTGGTGGAAATAATACATCATGTATGTCAGCTTTATGCAGTAGTGGTGCTGGAAATGATGATATTGATTCACGTCGTATAATTAAATCAAGTATTATCCCGACTGGTATTGATGAACCCAATAAACGTGAAATAAAATCTCTTCATTTCCAATCAAATAATCCATTGATTGCATCTTCGGGAATTTTTGATTCTTATTATGGAATTGGTAGGTGGCCAGTTTTTTTAAAACAACTAAAATTTTAAGTGATTATTTATTCATTATCAATTCCAATATGGCGTTTATTTTAATAAAAAAATGTTGTGTGTTGTTGTACTACTTACTATCTATTTTTCCGTAATGCAGTCACATATCACTGTGTTATATTTGTGTTATTCATAGATTTCTCTGCTTATTATGTGTGATTGTTTCATTGTTGTTCAGTAAAAAATTCCACTGTTGGTTTTTAAAGAAGAAACGAGTATAGTTTGCGTAGTGTTTTCCATTATCTCAATTTTTTTAGAGATCGATCTGTTTTAACCTAGCTATTCTTGTTGAATTCATGAATTGATTGAAATTGGACATCAACACAAATGGACGCCAGCTCAATGGTCGCGCGTAAGATTTAGGGTTCTAGGTTAAGTCCCCATTAGGATCGTGGATATACATTGTTGAGTGGCTCCATATTAGCATTAAATAAACTAACCAGTGTTTTCGGGCTTTCTGTTGTTGTCTAACTAGAGTCAGTTTGTGAGTGTTTACTACAGAATTCAATAATCTCCACAAACTCTTTTTTACTAATAATTACTATAATTTGTTTAGCAACTTCAAGTTTATATATTCAGCTTTAAGAGAAAATGCCTTGTTTGGCGACTGCTGACCAATAATATATACCTTTATTGACCCCAATAGGTATATTAAGTTCAGTTCTATAACTTAATGAATAAGCCAAGTACTTTAATCAAATTAATTACTAATAAATATATTAATCATTAGTCTTAACCAATAATCCTGCTAATATTGTTTAAGTCTTCTGCCTGCCACTCGTACTGTAGTAACATGGGACAAATCCATGAAGTCACTGACCAGTGGACTGAGCCATATTGGTAGGTGTAGACTACCTGGTTGATATCCGCGAGATGATAGCAACCGATGGTTATAGACCTTGAATGACATGGCTCAAAATCGTTTGCAATGGCACAGGTGCATTCACTCTTTGTGTTCTCCAAAATTCTAATCTCTCAAATTCTTCATGTCCCTTTTTTCTCTTTCCAAATTTATTTCACTGGATTATACTCCTTGAATAACATCTTCAAACCCTAGTGTTCCCGATTACTGCTTATACTCTTATTACCTCTACCACTACGGGATTTGAATCAACAACTGCATCTGTGTGCTAATGTGGTGTGGCAACTCGGACTGATGTAGGTACGTACGAAGTTCTACGTTGTTACTGACTGACTGACTGAATTTGTAGTTATGTAAGATTATCTGGCCGGAGGTTGAATGGTTGCTCAAAATCGGTCACAATAGATCAAATACCTTCACTTTAAATCTTAAAGTTCCAGTATTTCTTCATGTAAACCCATTTGATTCCATCATCTCATATTATGTTTCCGATGTTTAATCTTTCTCATGACTATTAGCTATTGCATTTATTTCAATTCCTTTATTATTTATCATCTTGTGAATATACACTTATATTTATCATAGTCTCTCTATGTTGATAAAAGGAAATCCGATTAATTTTTCTAAGATATTTTAAATAAATTAGATTAAAGAGAAAAGAAAAAACGTAAGTAATTGTATACGATTTGTAAATATTATACTATTTTACTTATCATAATTTTACTTTGTTTTTGTAGTAAAATAGCGGAAAAGTTTTAATATAATTACTTTTACAGCTTTAGGTATTATCTATGTGTAGTACACATTAAAAGGGGAAAAGTTAGTAAAAAAAAAGAAATTAGAAAAAATATTCTGTTATTTGCATTTTTTTGTTTTGTTTTTTAATCAACAATGTTTGATCAGTGCCTAAAATAAATTCTCTTTTATTTTTTACAATTTTATTCTATATCTGTTCATATTATTGATATGTTATAGGAAGAATTGAATAAACTATGTATTATCATCATTGTTATTATTATTACTATTATGATTAGTATTATTATTACTATTGTGTATTTTGTATTTCTCTTTACCCCCCCTCCCCCATTTTGCATTTTGTAAATTTCTGTATTCTATGATAGTTGTTTACATCAGAGTGTGTTTACTTATCCTTCATTTTTTGTTGCCTGTTTTCTTTGCCACCCTCTCTCGCTCGCTTTCTTCTGTCTAACTTTTAGAGAATAGTTTTTCTGTAGGCAACACATCTGTGCTCCAATGTTGTTGCATGTGTTTTTTATTATTATTATTATTATTATTAGTGATTTTGTTATGTCCCCAGAGGTCGCAAACGTGATTTTTTTTCGTGATACTGCTTACACGTATTTGTTCTTTGTTGATGTTGTTGTTGAAAAAAACAACAACAAGAACTAGCTGATTCACAAGACAATTTGACTGTGTATGCAAAGCCCTAAGGCAGTGTGATATTAGTTTATTTGCTTATATTCCTTAAAATGTTATTCTTAGCCAGCCAGCCCCCTTATGCTTCGATTTGTTTTGTACTGAGTAATTGAAAATAATCTGCTTGTTTTCTGTTGACCTTAATTCTAGCTTTTGCTTAAAATAAAATTTTTTATGCAAAATTAATGTAATGCTGTTTATTTGAGAATTGGTTGATGCAACTACTTTGTAGATGAATTCTCCTACTACTAATGTTGGCCAGTAGTAGTAGTGGTGGTAGAACTTACTGAATAAAACGTATCTTTGTGTGCAGTTGGTGCATATCTTGCTTCTTTGTGATCCATGCTAGTTTTTCATTTAATTGACTTGTGACAGCTTAAATTTCTTGTCATTTCTTTTTATTTATCTTTGTAGATTCTGTGTGTGATGGAAATACAATTCCAAGCGGTTGGTCAAATACAACTAATGTCATTAATCCAGGTTGCGTAGTGGCAGGTTCTGTTCATACATCAAATTTTCCTTCACATATTTCCAATGATAATAATAGTAGTGCCTGTCAGTTGACGTCTGAATTGACTTCTGTTCCCGCCTATCCCAATTCTAATCCCTCTATCCATCCTGAATCTACTCATCCGACACATGTAAATATGGTAAATTTATCCTGTTTTTTAGAGGGTGGTATTGAGTTGTTATTATTATTATTATTTTATGTTTGAAAAGGAAAACACTTTAATTTGCATTGAATATTATTTACTCCGCTGATCAGTTTTGACTCGTCTGTTGTTACTATCTACGATTGTGTAAAATTCTCATTTTTTGGTGTCTAGCTATCAATTTAAAACACGTCTTGCTATGTTTTTGTTATTCATTGTTTATATGAACTTCTTACACGTTATTTCGTAAGATAATTAGCATTAATCCAATTATTCATTATCAATTATTGAAACTCTGTTGTTTTATTGTTTAAACTTTAGTAGTCGTCTAATTGTAACTTGTAACACTTTCTTCAAAATAGTGTTTCCAGCATTAAATGTTTGGTGAATAGGAAATGACAATGTTCAATATTTTTATTGAATATGTATGTATTATGTGTTATAGTTTGATAAATTACATAGTTTTGTGATTGTGAAGATTAGTGAATTGTACTCTGATCGAACATGTCAGCTCAATCGATACGTTGTGGCCAAGTGATAACAGCTTACGAGATGTGAATATCTATTCAATCCCATAAATGAACTAATTTCAACCGCACGAACGCTAACCAGAAGAATAGGTTTCTTTTAAGTAGTACAATTACGTGTTTACATACAAAATGCTTAACATAAAAATATGGTGGGATTTCTCAAATAATTGGAAGATATATCAATTTTATCGCTCACTCACTCGTCAACAACTTAGAATCTAACTATTATGCCTAATTCTTGCTTCGCTCATCATATTATCATTGAAGGCATCAACCTATGCTTGGCTCCTCACCTCTCTGTCTAATTGATATTTTTTAAATTTTAAGCTTGATCCGATTAGTCTATAACTTAATCGGGAAACATTGTAGATATTTTTGAGAAAATATTATGTCATTTGGTTTTGTTACAGGGAATGAATTATTCTGGGGTCGGTGGAGTTGGTGGTAATATGTATGCACCGACTACGTTACAACCTTGTCCATTGGTTGGATTATCTGATTCTTCCATTCAGCACCCATGCAATATACCTCAACCTGGTAAGTTGTGTGTGCTTATGCATTCATTAGAGTAAATTTCTATAATATAACTTATTTAGCAATGTAAATAATGTTAAGTTCCTATTATAGGTATGTAGGTAGGCTAAAATAATGGTTGGATTTGATTGTTAAGAATATTGTTAAGACTCTCATGCCTTTTTTAGTCAAATCATTCTGTATAAATGGAAAATATTTTGTTTGAAAATTAATTAAAACTAAATGAGTACAATTATTTTTACTTAGTCTAAGGATTTTTCAATATTTATGTGATAAGGTTTCCAATCTTATTAGAAAAATTCCTTTAGAGTAATTTATCTGGGTGCATAAAATGTCTCGTTCTAGATCATTTATGTATCTATATGTATTAACGCACAAACGTTGGTAAAAGGAGGCACCAAATATATATGCGTCACACTGTAGTGGCTTGGCTTCGTTTATCAATCAACCTGATAACCGTCATTAAATATACCCCAACGGTGTATGAATTCAGAAAGTAACAAGCGGCAATTACAGTTTATTATTGGATAACACAGTTAACAAAATTTCAAACACATCGAGGCGAATCGGAGCAGAGACGCTAATGTGTGTAAGCGAGCGAATACAGAGGCAAAACTATAGTGAAATCGAATCGAGGCGAAGCGAAGACAATTAATAAGATCCAAGCATAGATGTTTATAAAGACATGATAGTGATCGTAATAATACAAAATATAGGCAAATTGTTACTGTCTGTTGTGTATGCTAAATGAAGGACTACACTGGTCCCGCGTGCGTGACCGTGGGTTCACACTGCTGAAGAGGAGTCCTATACCAGGACGAAACGGCCATCCAACGCTTCCAGATTTTTAATGGTGGTCTAGCTTAGATTGACATGCGATTTAAGCTGTGAAAGTACTGCAATCTCCACAAATCCTCACACTGATAATATTTTGGTTTCACATTTTTATTTAAATAAATCATAAATATTACCTGCTTCCGTTTGGGCACCCGGGCAGTATCACAGCCCTCACACATATCAAATGAGATTTGTGTGGCGCATATGTATTTGGTGCCTCCTTGTACCAATATATATGTGTTAAAATAAATAAAATAATTCCTATTTGCTATGATGATACAGTTGCAAAATTCTACACAAAAACTTGATTGAATCTTATTTTTGAGTATATAACATATTACATATGAGATTGTAAACTGCTTAATGGACAGTTGATAAACAGATCTTCACTTAGATCCCTTCACTTTGGTTATTCCTCATCCAATTCAATATTGATTTTGCAGAAAGTGAACTTATATCTCTATTTGTGTCACAAACAGAAACACTACTATGGGATCCTTCAGACTGCGCTTTGCAAAATAGCTGTAGAGCTGATGTGTTTATTATGATAGATCGTTGAGTAGTAGTAGTAGTAAACAATCCTGTATTACTATCCAGTGTTTTGTTATAATCGAATTTATCGGTCAAATATTATTGTGATTAGATATTAGTGCATTTCATTCTTATGTAATGTACATACGAGGGATTCCACAAACTTTTTATTTTAGCACACAGTGACAAAACCATAGATTAATCATATCAAACGACCTTATTTGTGTACATGCTTTGTTTTGTTCCTTTTTACGCTTACATTTCCAGAATTAGTCGTGAAAATATTACTAAACTGTTTCTCTTTTTTGCTATGACTTTTACGTAAGGGAATTTATTGTCTCTGAATTTAGGTACAATTTAATGAGTCATCCATCGTCTATAAAATAGCACTTGTCAGTAAATGTAATTCAGATGTAGATCAGTGTCTTACATACTGAGAAGTGTTATTTCTCCTCCTCACTCTTTGTTAGTAATCTAAGTGTATTTTGAACATAATTTCTTATTATATCTAATTAGTGATCTGGCTGTTTGACTGACTATGTTTTAAGTAAAACATATAAGCGTAGTTGTCGTAGTAATAATTAGCATATAATTAAAAATCCTTTTTTTCACTTCATTTTATCTTCAAACCAGTTTGATGTAAGAAAATTTTTGCACATTGTAGTTTTCTACTTAAAAAAGATTGAAGTTTAGTCGTGCCCAGTAAAACCTTTTGATGGTTTGAAATCAATTTTTGTCCAAATTACACTTTGGTGTATAAAATGACTATTCATTTTGACCATGTACTTAACTTGCTTAGGCTGTCAACTATGCAAAGCGATAACAGATTCAAACCTCATCATTCTAGCTTGGGCAGAAGGATAATATTACACATTGTTACTCTGAGAAACTTAACTTAAAACGAAGTACACAAATCCATATTTAGTTCCAAGTTTTTGCTGTGATGAACGTGGTTAGTAAAAACTTTGTTCGTTCTCTTTTTTTCTTAACACTGAAAATTGAGGGAAATTTATTGTGAATATAGCGGTCTTCAGTGTTGTTATAGGTATGACAGCGGTTATTACTTCCTGGTTACCCACACAGTGGAAGGGTTCCTTTAGGAGTACCTGAAAAGGAAATTGGATTAGAGGTGGTCTGAGTGGTCGGAGAGTGTGACCGCAGGGCTCAAGAGACAGCTGTTTGAGGCCAGTCACACTCGACCATTTTCTGAGTAATATCCGTGTTTGCTCCGTAATTGTTGAATCCTTACCGCCTGAGACGGAAATTCACGGGATAAGGCGAGGTATGCACGTTTAGGGTCGCCCATTTCTAACCCCACCACTCCTTATGGAAAGGCAGCATCGCTATTATGCTGGTTGTCTGAAGGAAGCACCTAACTGCCGTCAATCATCTGTACAGTTAGCAGTACGACTTCGCCCTCAAACCTTGGGTTTGTTGCTTTTAGTCTTACCGCTCTTCAGCTGACCTACCTGGCATGGTCGAACCTTGAGGAACGATTATTCCAGCCAGTATAGCTCGATTGCTTTATCACGATAGGCCATCCCGACCACCACGTCAAAGTGGCAGCAACGGTCGGGAACCATGATATTAAAATTACTTTATACCTTTCTTCCTACGAACTAGTTATTTTCCTTGTATCATGTCCTTATATACCATCTTGTCTAGTGATAGGGAGTGAAGTAGTTGAGTGTGTCGACCGCTTCACTTATCTTGGAAGTCTTATCAGCCCTTGTGGTTTAGTGTGTGACGAAATCTCAGCACGGATACAGAAGGCTCGACTAGCTTTTGCCAACTTGCGTCATTTATGGCGTAGGCGAGATATCCGTCTATCAACCAAAGGACGTGTTTACTGCGCAGCAGTTCGTTCCGTCCTACTTTATGGCAGTGAAACATGGGCGGTAAGAGTAGAGGATATCCGTAGGTTACTAGTATTTGATCATAGGTCTCTTCGAAACATTGCTCGTATATCCTGGGACCATCGAGTAAGTAACACAGTTGTTAGGAAACGGGTACTAGGTAAGGATGGCAAATCAATTGATGAAGTAGTGAAACTTCATCAGTTGAGATGGCTGGGACACGTGTTACGTATGCCCAACGACCGACTACCTCGACGTGCTATGTTCAGTGGTATAGGAGTAGTTTGGAAGAAAGCTAGGGGCGGCCAAACGAAAACATGGCACAAGTCCATGAAGTCACTGACAAGTGAACTGAGTCATGTTGGTAGGTGTAGACTACCTGGTTGGGGACCGCGAGATGACAGCAACCGATGGTTAGAGACCCTGAATGACATGGCTCAAAATCGTTTGCAATGGCGCAGGTGCATCCACTCTCTGTGTTCTCTCAAATTCTAATCTTCTGAATTCTTCATGTCTCTTTTTTCCTCTTCCCAAGTTTATTTCACTGGATTATACTCTTTAAATGACATCTCCAAACCCTAATCTTCCCTATTACTGCTTATACTCTTATTACCTCTACCACTACGGGATTTGAATCGACAAGTGCATCTCTGTGCTAATGTGGTGTGGCAACTCGAACAGGTGGATAGAACACTTCAAAGAACTCTTGAATCGACCAGCGCCACTGAACCCACCCAACATCGAAGCAGCACCCACGGACCTCCCAATCAATGTTGGCTCACCAACAATTGAAGAAATCAGCATGGCCATCAGGCAAATCAAGAGTGGCAAAGCAGCAGGACCGGACAACATCCCGGCAGAGGCACTAAAAGCAGACGTAGCGGCAACTGCAAGGATACTCCACATTCTCTTCAATAAGATTTGGGATGAGGAACAAGTACCAACAGACTGGAAAGAAGGACTTCTGATCAAAATACCGAAGAAAGGCGATCTCAGCAAGTGTGATAACTACAGGGGCATCACTCTTCTCTCAATACCGGGAAAAGTCTTCAACAGGGTATTGTTAAACAGGATGAAGGACTGCGTAGACGCCCAACTTCGAGACCAACAGGCAGGATTCCGTAAGGATAGATCGTGTACAGACCAAATCGCAACTCTACGGATCATTGTGGAACAATCAATTGAATGGAATTCATCACTCTACATCAACTTCATTGACTACGAAAAGGCATTTGACAGCGTGGACAGAACAACACTATGGAAACTTCTTCGACACTACGGCGTGCCTCAGAAGATAGTCAATATCATACAGAACTCATATGATGGATTACACTGCAAAATTGTGCATGGAGGACAGTTGACAAAGTCGTTCGAAGTGAAGACCGGTGTTAGGCAAGGTTGCTTACTCTCACCGTTTCTCTTTCTCCTGGTGATCGACTGGATCATGAAGACGTCAACGTCTGAAGGAAAGCGCGGGATACAATGGACATCTAAGATGCAGTTGGATGATCTAGACTTCGCAGACGATCTGGCCCTTCTATCCCACACGCAACAACAGATGCAGGAGAAGACAAACAGTGTGGCAGCAGCCTCAGCAGCAGTAGGTCTGAACATACACAAAGGGAAAAGCAGGATTCTCCGATACAACACAGCATGCACCAATCCAATCACAATTGACAGAGAAGATTTGGAAGATGTAAAAACCTTTACATATTTGGGCAGCATCATTGATGAACAGGGTGGATCTGATGCAGATGTGAAGGCGCGGATCGGCAAAGCAAGAGCAGCATATTTACAACTGAAGAACATCTGGAGCTCAAAGCAACTGTCAACCAACACCAAGGTCAGGATTTTCAATACAAATGTCAAGACAGTTCTACTGTATGGGGCAGAAACCTGGAGAACTACAAAAGCCATCATCCAGAAAATACAGGTGTTTATTAACAGTTGTCTACGCAAAATACTTCAAATCCATTGGCCGGACACCATCAGCAACAACCTACTGTGGAAGAGAACAAACCAGATCCCAGTGGAGGAAGAAATCAGGAAGAAGCGCTGGAAGTGGATAGGACACACATTGAGGAAAGCACCGAACTGCGTCACAAGACAAGCCCTCACATGGAATCCTGAAGGTCAAAGGAAAAGAGGAAGACCAAAGAACACATTACGCCGAGAACTGGAGATAGACATGAGAAAAATGAACAAGAATTGGATGGAACTAGAAAAGAAGGCCCAGGACAGAGTGGGTTGGAGAATGCTGGTCAGCGGCCTATGCTCCATTGGGAGTAACAGGCGTAAGTAAGTAACTCGAACTGATGTACGTACGTACGAAGTTCTACGTTGTTACTGACTGACTGACTGACCATTTAAGTAACTGCTTCGACTTATTTGGTGTTCATCTTGTTATGCTAAAGAGATACGGTAACTTAGACCAATGAATATATGTGCTTCGTCCTATGTTGTATATAATTGACTGACTTTTCCCAACACTAGATAGATTTTCGACTTATTCCATACAATTTCGACTATCCGGTTTGGTGTCTAGTACCCATTAGTTTATCAGTTTGTTTGTTGTCACAGATAGTCATAATCTATCTGTCCTATAATTTCATTAGGACTATTGGTTTTTTTATGGTCACCAATTATTTGTTGCCAGAGTACCCTAATGCTATTCACAACAGACAAACTGAATTGTTTAGGAATCATCACTAATTAGTAATCAAAACTATATTAATAATGATGATTTTTTGTTGTTATTGCATTAAAATAGTTCATCCTCTAGATCCTAATCCTTCATATTCTTCCATTGGGGAATATACAATTCATCGTCAATCTTCTGATATAACCCCACCATCTGGTCTATTACCTTCAGTTGTCTATGAACAACACTCACTTGCAAATCTCAATACACATGTATGTGTTATTGTTGTTATTAACATACATAATTTTTATTGTTAACCTTTCATTATGCATTATTAATCATTTTTTTGCTTAGGCTCACTCGCTTGTGTGTATGTGTGTAAGTATATTTTAATGAATTAATTGCCTATTGATCTTACTCATTACAAATATGATCTCTAATGGGTCATGTTTTGGATCATACTTATTGTTATTATTATTATTATCATCATCATGATAAGATCATCTTGACAACATAACAAATGCAAATGAGCAACGAAAATTCGCATAATTCAATTTTGCTGATTCATTGATGTGTCTATCGTTATTCTGTTTTTCTATTTTTTCCTCGTATCTTTATTAATTAATGTTGCATTATTGCATTTCTTTACAGCTATAAGCATGTAATTTATATGTGTACTTTGATATTATGTTATCAAGAGTTTTCATCTTATAAAAAATTCCTCCAGTACTTTTTTAAAGTACATTATTGTTAAGTTAGAAAAGGGTTATAGAGATTTCTCGGTTTACAATATACATCACACAATGATTTAAGCTAAACACGACTGTTAGAAATAAGGGAGGACTGAACAATTGTTTTGTTTCAGTGTTAGACTTTTCAAAAATGAGAATCCAAGAACCTGCCAAGGTGTGAACGTGCTGTCCTTTGTTTTAATAGAAAGCGCTGAGCTGTTATCCAATTATATGGACAACCATCATTCATTAACATGAGTTATACCTGTCTCATATACTGTACATCTCCTGCACATATAGCCTATAATTTGAATCATAATTGATTCAGCTGGAGTTATCTGATTTATATCTTTAGTTCTTTTTCTCGAGTGTGAAGGGTTAAGAATGAGAAGAAATATGTAGAGTATTATCTTAATTTACGCTATGTTTTTATGCGTATCCATAAAATGTAATACTTATTCTCTGGTTAACATTTAGTTTGAGGAAGCCTAAGTTTATATTACTTGTCTAATGATTAGGGAACTATTCTTCTGTTGATCAACTTCAGAAAATATATTCTCACCTTTTCCATTTGACCATTTTTCAACTAATCTAATAATTCTAAAAATGATGTTAACGTTGCAATAAGCGTAAACCATTCAGTAAATGGTACGTTTTGTGATAATATTTGAAATATATATAGATAGATTCTGTGAAGTGTTTTTATTATTCGTTTTGTAATTTGCCTGCTAAATGTTTGACTTAATTTGTTCTCCTTTAATTTCATTCATTTCAGAATACAACTTCAAATAATAATAATAGTAATAATAGTACTACTACTACTAATAATAACAACAATTATCAAAGTGATATGATGAGTTGTAGCCGTGAGGCACTGATAGCATTAACAGGTATGTTTTACTTCGTATTTTAATGTATTTTAAATTATCTCGTCATCTTTCTTCTTTAAATCCACATATTTGATATATTCTCTAGAATTTCTTCTATTTGTATTGTAGTGTCAATCATTATTTTAAGCCCATATATTTTATGCTAGCTTGCGGACATTCCATTCTACTCATTCTACTTGAGTTATATTTTGACCTTGTTAATTATTTGCTTATCAGTCTTGACTGTTTTTATATGAGCGTATATGTGTGTGCCCTTCTTATTCCATTAATCACATGTCTGTAGCTTTATTTTGTCTGACTATAAATATTGAGTAACGCTTGACTAAAATGGAGTTGGCTTCCCAGCCATCTTCCATACGTGTCATTTTGCTTTGCTCTGCTTCATTCGCTTCATATACAAAGTATATGTATTCGCAAATCAATTCTCGTTATTTGACTTATTTAATTCCGTTATTGGATAACGCGATTTAAGTCAACGATGATATACGAGAATAGGCGATAACAAACATTCGTACGATCTAAATAGGAGTCAGATTCATGGGCCACTAAAGTATCTCGGATTATTATTGTCGATTTCATGATCAACTTCATATTTTAATCTGATGTCATATATTCCATTTTAGTTTGATGACAGTTAAGAGTTAAATATTAGTTGAATAAAAAAGCAATGCAAACTATGATAGTTGATGTTAAGTTTAAGTGAACTAATATTTTGAGATTAATAAGCCCGTTACCATATAAATTATTCATTTTATTTCGTGAACTCTCATCGACTGTTTATGACATTGTTCGTATAGAAATACAGTAATCATGATAATAATACATCAACTTGAGATAGTGGGATGATTTATAGCTTACGAAGATGATTTGGAAGAATTAGCGTTCTATGAGATAGGTGCTTTACTTGTGATGCGTTCGTGATCTTTCTAGACTACATCATCAGGACTAACATTAAAAAGAATGTGAACTATGAAAACTTTTTTGTCATTCCTTTTTTCGATTTGCATAAAATTGACTGAAATGATTTTACTATTTTTTTAACCACGCCTGATCCTAAAAATTAATCTATTTTACCTTATGTAGTGAAATTTGTACAAGCTGAAATTGATATTCTTATCTTTTGCACATTTCATTATTTTTTTCAGTGTACAAGTTGTATTGATCTCAAAAAGTATGTTGATATTTTTTTATTATAGGATCTGGCGCAGATGAAGTGAATTTCACAACTCGTTCATCTAATATAAATTTAACACATTCCTCTACACCAACCTTATCTGCTAGTAATTCTACATCTCATGGCGGTGGTCGTGGAACAAGAGGTGGTCGTGTTGCTGGACACAAGCGTCGATCATCATCTGTTAATCCTTCCAATTCTCTTAATTTAGAATCAAATGGAAATTCCATCGAAGCTAACACTAGCGATATGACTTTGGGGCTGTCGAATGCTTGCCCATTATCCTCTAATACTGGTATGAGCTCAGAATGTTCATCTCTTTTCGGTGATTTTGACAACAGTAGAAATTTCGGACATGGTCGTACGCCAAGTGTATGTGGTACTGACTCTGAAGAAACTATTGACCCAGATGAAACACCTGAGCAAAGAGCTGAAAGAGAACGTAGTCGTAGGCAGGCGAATAATGCACGAGAGCGGTAAGTATGCTATTTGTAGTTAAATATGTCAACGATACTGTTCATTGATTTTCTTGATTCAGACAGACTGCAAATTTAATTATAAATAGTCATAACTTAGTAGGTAACAGGACAGGTGTGCATCGTACCTAGTTACTGCGCTTTATATCACCACACTAAATGCTTATAAACAAAATAAAATTTAACGAAATAGAAATAACAGTATCAGTGATCGTAAAGAAGACTAGACTTTGGAAACATAATTAAAAAATCGAATATCAGATAGTATGAAAATTCGATGTTTACTGGCAGACAGCAGACAGATTATTATTTTCATATTATTTTTGATACAATATGGAATTCTCAGCACAAAGTATTTCGATAAATTTCATTTTCTTATTTTTTGATCGGCAGTTAGGTGTTAGCAGATCAGGAATGGACATCTGCATATTGTTCATTCTTTTCAATCCATATTGCCAGCCTCCACGATGTTTCCGATTGTACTTTTGTGTAACTTGTACAACGAAAGGTCGTAAACTTTTCATAAACGCACCTGAATAGGTTATGAGAGTAATGAACATAATGATTTGGTAAAACAAACAAAAACAGATAACTTGTTGAAATATTTAGGTGTAAAGAACAGGTAGCCCCGATACTTAGGCAGGTCGCCTTGGTTATAGGGATGATGATTAATTTGTAAATACCAGTTAAAAATTCTACATGCCCTAGTACCACTCACAGTAGCAATCGTTAACTTTGTGAACTGATCACTCCTAACTTTCTTCGTAACTCCTCCTCCTATGCTAGCTAGGAGTATAGCTTGAAAAACGTGTCTGCGAATGTGTTATACGCGGATGATGACATTTCACAACCTTTATAAACTACCTGGTCATTTCTTGTAAGTGATCGCTTAGTGGTTCCATCATACTTGAACATTGTTTAGATAACATCCGTGATTAAATACTGAGAACATACATATGTTTTAACCTTCAAACATAATATTTTCAATCATAAATTAATATAAAAAAGATTTGCTACTAAGAGATATCACTCTTGGACAATATATATATATATATATATTATTAGGTTATTTAATAATAGTGAAGTGTCAGTATTTTTCATGTCTTGATTCTTTTGATTGTTTTTTTCTTTGGAATGGAAATGTATTCCTAATAAATATTACAAGGAATTGCTTTGCTTACTTCAATTTTGTTATGAATTCCAGAGTTGTTCTTTTCGGACAATTTAATTTTTCACTGTTAGAATTGTGTAATGTAGTACACTTTTTTGGGGAGGGGGTGATGCTTTTTTGCGTATTCCTTGTTTTGAATTAACTCCATGCAGTCGCTTTTCTTTGCTACTGAAGTGGTTATTAATTCGGAATTGTTTAAAGAGGATTCGATGAGAAACCCATAGATGTAGGTTTTGTGCTACGTCGTGCTCATCAGCGAAGCGCACATGTAATGTTGGTGGGACTGTACTGCCTGGCCGATTTAATCTCGTGTCACTCAGCTACACAGAGAAGTTACCATTGATCGGTAGAATTCAATCAACTCTAAAGAGGAATTGACACCCATGGCATTAATCACTAGTTGGTGATCAATCAATTGTAAAAATACGTGAAATACCATTTTGTCTGTCAGGTAAGGTGAAGACGCGTTTTAAAGTAAAGACAAATTTCACTTACTGTGATCGTATTTGGAAGTATCTAATCTTGTAAATTAATTAAATCAAATCATTTCGTTAACTAGATTGTAGTGTTTTACGTATTTCACATTATGTTTACTTGTCCATTATATCCATAAATTGTACAACAACAAAATAGATTACGAGTTCGTGAAATCAATGATGCTTTTAAAGAATTGGGTCAAATGATTAATTTGCACACGGGAAATGGTCAACCTCTGACAAAACTCATGATTCTTCAGCAAGCTGTAACAGTTATCACAGGTTTGGAACAACAAGTTAGAGGTTAGAAGAAAAAAAACATAGATATTTTTAAAAATCATTTTTAAGTTCTGCTTGATGTTAGCATGTTGTCATAATCCTTAGTATTATGCATGTTTATATCTCTCCTTTTCTTTCATCTTAATCTCCTGGATCGTGGTAATATTATCTGTTACATCATACTATCCATTACATATGTCAATCTGGTTAATCGCATTCCTGTGTGTTACACTTTATGTATGGTATGCTCTTTGTCTATCAAAGTATTCGAGTTCGTGATATCAATGATGCATTCAAAGAGCTTGGACGCATGTGCATGATGCATTTAAATAATGAACGACCACAAACCAAACTTACAATTTTACAACAAGCTGTTTCATTAATCACCAGTTTGGAACAACAAGTTCGTGGTAAGTAGTTTGTGTACTTCATGTGGTTACATTTATGTCGTAAGATTTTATTGGGAAATTTATGAGTGTTTAGTTTCTCTGTTTTATTATTTACTTTATATGTAAGTCTAATAAATAATTACTAGAAGTCAGTTTTTAATTTTCACCATTGATGATAATAAGAGAACGATTGTGTATTCATTACTTAAACACGTTTTTTTTTATGTGTATAGTCACTCCGCTACTATTGAAGTCCAGTTAAAAAAAAAGAAAACACTTTCTGATTCTAAATATAATGCTTTCGATTCGTGTGTGAGTATTCCATTTCGTGCTTTTTCCATAATCTCTTTGATTTTTGCTGGTTAACTGTGTTTATCAATACTTTATGCTATGGAAATAACATATTGACCATTTAGGGAGGTGTGTATGTATGAACATACGGCTACTTGGATTTTATTCTGCTTTTTTAGTCAGTGGTTTTGAGACGCTAAGTGATATGGTGAGTCGAATTTGGACACAATGGCCTAGATGAGTTTTCTGTTTATCTTTTTCTAGATCTTGAGTTCCAACATTTCCTCATACATATTCTCTGTGTATGGGATTCTTCCTAGTTGTAATTGCTGTTACATTATTTTGATTATTTTTTCTATTCATCTTGATAATTTCATTTGACTGTGCAGATTTGATAGGAGAATTTTGTCTAATGCATATTAGTGCCATCCTCTTTATTGATTATGATTGACTGACTGGTAAAAAAAAAAGAATTCAAATTAAATAAATCTATATTGGTGAAAGCTACCCAAATAAGTTGGTTATATATAAAGTGTATTCTAATTGAGCTATTTTCGTCAATGTGTAAGCGTTTAGCAACATTTATTTCATTTGTTGATTTAGGTGTTGTTGTTTTTTTCATTCTTTTAGAAATAACCGTTTTTCTTTATTTTACTTCTCAGTGGATTGATTTACTACATAAAAATTCTGTCATCAATCTATGGTGTATAAACATTACATTTTTCTTAAGTGATAATACATCTTTCTTATTATTTTAAGTAATAATCCTTATTGTGATGAATAATAGGATAATAATTATAAACCACTCGAATTTTGAACATACAGATCATACATTCAAACCTCGTGTCATCCACTTAATTGTTTTGGCAGCCAAATTAGTATCACTAGCCCGTCATATTGATAAACCTAGAGAGAGAGAGAGAGAGAGAGTTGTTGAATGTGTTACGGCTTGTTTTATGTTCTAGACATTCAATTATAAGGTGACAAATATTCGTTTTGGAATTCTTTTTCTATGAGTGACAACTTACTAGTGCTGGCCTTAAATCTGGTCATTTATAGAATTATTAATTTAGATATATAACTGTAGAACCTGAAGATAATTTATTGAATGTTCGTTCATATGTCAATGTGTTGGATCGTTTACTACTTAAGTATTTTATCTCAAAAATTAGTGAAACTATAACTTATAGACGACCTTTGAGCGAGGTTAAAGTGACCTTGAAATACCCACATACTAACCAGGACTAAATGAAGGTTATAACAAAGTGTGGTGAATTGGAATTATGATTTACGGGTGATGATTAGGGTTAGGAACTTAATTTAGGGTTTTCATCATGAACTGATATCAGATAAAATGCCAAAACACTTTAATCATATGAACAAATGAATTTCGCGCCAAAATCCATGATCACTTATCTTAAATCTGATTGGTTTGTTCACAAATTATAATCTCACCCAAAAAAAATCATGATCCTTATTGTAGTATCAAATTAATTTTATACAAGTACTTCCAAAATGGGATTGATAATAAAACAGTAATAGTAGTAATATTATTATTTATTTATTTATTTGAACACATAAATATTAGTACAAGGGGGCTTTAGATATATATGCTCCACACAAAACAATGAGAATGGGAAGAGAAAAAAGAAGGTAAGGAGCGTAAAAGAATAAGAAGAAGAACAATAACGACCAGATTAGTGTATGGTAGTGAAATAACAATAATAATAATGGGGGAAACGGAAAGGTCCAACCAGAAAGAAAGTAAAATAAGGTTACAGCAGGATCGCCATTGGCTTCTATTCTGAGCCATATCTGATAACGTCTCTAGCCACTGTGTTGCACCATCTCTCGGACCCCAACCAGGGAGTCGTGAACGACCAACACAAGCCAGCCCTTTGCAACTTTCTTTCATACCACGACACCATGTCATATACTGACCACCTCTCCGCTTCTTCCAACCAGTCCCAGCGTCGGCAAATAATGCACGACGTGGAGTTCTCTGGGACGACATTCGTAGAACATGTCCGAGCCACCGAAGTCGATGTTTCAACATGGTGACACCGACTGCATTATCGTCTCTGTGCCCAAACACACGATGCCGAACATCTGCACTACTGACATGGTGTTGCTACTGGATGTCAGCAATACTTCGGAGACAACGATGATCTAACATCCTGAACTTGGAGAGGTCAGCTTTCACAAGCTTAGAGCAAAACTGCTCTCATCGACGCGTTGTATTACTAGTAGTGTAGTGAAGGAGAACACAGGTGAGGACAACCGAATTATATTTAGCACAAAATTACAGTTACTTGATAAGATAGAAAAAATCACACTATAATACTTCATTTGCAAAATGTTCAATAATTATCTCGAACTTCATTGTTCTTACATTTCCATACTCATTGCTTTCTATTCCCACTCTTCCTTTCTTGATCTTCCCCATCTTCTGTCGCCAGACATTACATTCCTGACTCGCGTCATATACTACTACTTATATCAATATAAGTAGCACGCACCACAGTAGTAGTAATGTGTTTGTTTATTTTAGTGATTTGTTCTATGATTTCATTATTTCATGATATCACTAAAACTCGTTAAATTCATTCACATATATTATCATAATTTATTATCTCTTTTTTTTCGTTTTTGCATGTGTCAAATAATTTTTGTTTGTTTATTGTTATCTTAACTTTTTTTGGTTGTTGTTGTTGTTTGTATATTTTATCGAGTTTCCTTTCCTTGATTAACTTTATTTCATTGCATTCTAATATTTGAATAAATTAGACACAGTTATTAAAATAAATAATATATCAATAATAAATCCCAAGGATTAGAAAAATTAGATTATCTGACGTTTCTTAACTTAGTGTAAACTACTTCTTCAAAGTCAGTCAGTCAGTCAGTCAGCTACAACGTAGGACCAAGCACATATGTGCATCGGTTCAGGTTGCCATACCGCATCAGCACAACAAGATGAAGAATAAAATATTAATATTAGAACAAAGTATATAAGTGAACAATATTATTTCTAATTAGTTTTTCCATTTTTAATCTAATATACAGTAATGCTTATATGCATATATTATAAAATATTAAACCCAGTTATGGGTGTTAATAAGCCAATTATAACAAAAAAAAGTAGATTACATAACTTAATATAATCATCGGCGCCTGCTGGGATCACCGGGTAAGTAATAGTGAGGTTTGACGCAGGATATTAGGGAAGGATGGTAAGTCAGTTGATGAGGTTGTGAATCTTCATCGACTGAGATGGTTGGGCCACGTGTTACGTATGCCTGAACACCGATTACCAAGACGTGCAATGCTAACAGGTGTTAGAGATGGTTGGAAGAGAATTAGGGGCGGCCAAACCAAAACGTGGCATCAGTGCTTGAAGTCACTAACTTCTAGTCTGAGCCATATTGATAGATGCAGACTACTTGGTTGGGGTCCGCGTGACTATCATAACCAATGGTTGGAGACTCTTGGTGAAATGGCTCAGGATCGATCACAATGGCGTCGGTGTATACACTCTGTCTTCTCTTAAACTAAGAGATTAAAATCACTTCATATCTTTCTTTCTACGAAATAATTCTTTGTTCCTGTACTATATCCTTATTACAATCTTTCTTTTATATATTACCACCTCTGAATTAAATACTTTTATGAATCCGGTGTCCATCTTGTTGTGTTAATGATGTATGGCAACTTGGACCGATGTATATATATATGCGTGGTCCTACGTTGTAGCTGACTGACTGACTGACTAATATAATCATAAAAAAGTACAAATTGATGATAAGATAGACACCTGATCTATTATTACTGATGTGAATAAGACGAAATACGCGCCCTGGATTACATTGCTAACCACCATCCATCTCTACTTTATAAAAATAATAACAACTAGAATTGTTATTTCAATATAAGTAGTATGTTGAAACTTGACTAAATAGATACCGGAATATTAATCACTGGAAATTATAGAGTAAAGAAGACTAATGATCACTGCTGATACACCTCTTTTCTTACTATCGGTTTTTACATTTTACTTATTCATTTTAGGTATATAATCTATTTCATTGTTCCTAATAACTGACTTGCTTGGCTTTGTGCTTTTTAATATCCTCATTTAAATATATCCTGTATGATAGAATGAAATCTGATAACTATCTAATCGGAAGCAATATTGTTCATTTATATATGTTTTAAACAATTTTTATAGTAATAATACTAATAATAAGAATGATTATTTTAAAAGTTAAACTTCTCATCTCTTTTTTATTTTACTTTTGTGAATTCTTTACTAGAACGTAATTTAAATCCTAAACAAGCTTGTTTAAAACGTCGTGAAGAGGAAAAAAGTGGTGAAGCACCACATTTCAGTGGTAGCACTGGAGGTGGCTGTGGTAGCAGTAGTAGTAGTAGTAGTAATAATAATACACATATCAATTCAATTGGAAGCGCCATAAATCGTTTGTGTAATACTAATTCAGTGAATTATTCTACTCCTGTTGTAACATCCTCATCACAAAATCCATCAAGTCATATATTGGATTATGATCCACGTCTATCTCATATTACACATGGAACTGGTATGTATATAGTCTATTATTCATATGTTAGTTGAAAATTTCTTCGTAGTTTGTGTTAAACGGAGTAATTAATTTTCTAAAAATTTTCACTCCGATTCTTATATTAACTATCATTGACATTCTTAGTGCCTACTTTCACAAGTTTCAAAATTTCATGTTACATCACGGTTTACTTACACCTGTTACTCCTGGAGGAGCATAGGTCGCTCACTATCATTCTCTATCCAACACTTTCCTGGGAAATCCTTTCCAGTTGCTATTCATCCTCTTCATGTCTGTTTCCGATTCTCAACTCTGTGTTCTTTGGCCTTTCTCTTTTCCGTTCCCCTTCAGGATTCCAGGTTAGGGCTTGTCTCGTGATGCGATTTGATGGTTTCCGAAATGTATGTCCTATCCAATTCCATCGTCTTTTCTGATTTCCTCTTCATTTGGGAGCCGGTTTGTTCCCTCCCACGGTAGGTTTTTGCTGATGGTACCCGGTCAACGGACATTGATTATCTCACGCAGACAATTGCTTATCAATACTTGTACCTTTTCGGTGAAGGTTGTGGTAGTTCTCTGCGTGTCAGCCCCGTTCGTATTGAAGATTCTCGTTTTGATATTGGTTGACGGTTGTTTTGAGTCCCATATGTTCTTCAATTGTAGGAATGCTGCCTTTACGTCTGTATCAGATCCTCCTTGTTCATCGGTAATGCTGTTCAGGTATGGGAAAGTTTCCACCTGTTCCAGAGTTTCTCCATCAAGTATGACAGTGTTGGTGTTCTGCGTGCTATATTTAAGGATGTTGGTTTATCCTTTGTGCGTGTTGAGGCTTGCTGCATCAGAGGTTGCTGCTAAAATGTTTGTCTTGACGTGCATTTGTTAATGTGTATGGGGCAGAAGAGCTTGGTGATCTGCGAAGTTCAAACCGTCTAGTTTCATCGAAGTTGTCTATTGTATTCCATGTTTCCCGTCAGATGTGGAGGTCTTCATAATCGAGTCAGCCACCAGAAGGTGGAAAAAGGGGGAGACAGACAACGTTTTCTGTCTCCGTTCTTCACTTGTAATGTGTCTGTGCGGTGTCCTCCATGCACGACTTTGTAGTGTAGTCCGTCGTATGAATTCCGTATGATGTTGTTGACGATTTTCTCATATAAGCCATTATATGGAAGAAGTTTCTATAATGTTCTTCTATCCACACTGACAAACACCTCATAGTGGAGGAAGTTAAACTATAGTGATGAATTCCATTCAATTAATTGTTCAACAGTGATCCGTAGTGTGGCGATTTGGTTTGTGCTCGACCGATCCTTACGAGATCTAACCTGTTGATCTCGAAGTTGGGCGTATACTGAGTCTTTTATCTGGTTTAGCAACAGTATGTCGAAAATATTTCCTGGCACTGCAGCGATGTGATGTCTCTATAGTTCTCACGTTTGCTCGGATCTACTTTCTTTGGTATCTTGATGAGGTGTACTTTCCAGTCCGTGGGCAACTTGTTCCTCCTCACAAATCTTCTTGAATAGAACGTAAAGCGTGTTTGCAATTACTTCAATGTCTGACTTCAGTTTTTATGTTGTGTGGTCCTATTGGTCTCCCACTTTTGATTTAAAATCGAAATTATGTTAAAATTCGACATACTTATAAATACATAGGTGGTTAAAAATGGATATGTATATCATGGTATTGTGGAGGTTTTAATAAAGTTAATAAGGTCGTAAAAAAATGAAGACTGGAAATAATAAAGAATCATGTAAGTTGAAATCAGTTAATTAGAATTAAAATTATAAAGTCAAGAGAAATGAAAGTGACTTAATTAAACTTGAGAAAGATTTGAAACAACAAAAAAATATGCTGCAATAAAATGAATGTATTATTAACAGGGTAAAGAAAGGTTTTCGGAGCGAGAAAAGTAGTTGCCATAGACATAGAGTTCATCGTTTGTGTGTGGGCTGTGATACTGCCCGGGTGCCCAAACCGAAGCAGGTGGTTATCTTAGGGGGCCACTCCCCGAGCCTTTGACCTAAAGGTCTAACCCACAAGACAGTGGAGCATCGTAAGGAGATGCCGTCCCATGGTAGCCGGTGACCAACGATTGGTTCATACGCCATTTGTTCCCGCAGGATACTGGAGCCCATGTGCACCATTAGTTTGGAATCCGGTTAAAGCGTCGGACATTCGCTTTTCGTCCTCTCATTTTCGTAAACAACACCCGCCACGAGAAGGCAATGAGTAGGACTTCTCTGGCAGAGGCTGTATACGCGTGGCCGTGTGAGAGTATTTCGAGAGGGAGAGCGGACTCACCCCACTCTCGGCCGTACCAGGGCATTCGGGGGCAAAGTATGTGTCAGAGGTGGGATATATATTGGCGCTCTCTTGTACCAATATTCATGTGTCCAAATAAATAAATAAAGGTTTATTAATGTTGCTTATTAAACACATAAATCTGGTTTCAGACGTTAAATCTTTATAATTTTAGCAAATTAGAAAAAATTGGTATTCTTTTGTTTATTGGTCATATTCAGTGTATTCAATTTCTATTCAATTGAATAACTAAATGGTTTACAACATTTTTAAAAATACATTTTAGCTGTCTATGGCGAAAATTTGCCAATAGTTAATAGTCGTAATGATTATGCATCATCGAGTACTGGATCTGCTGGAGATGTTTGTACTCCTGGTTATTTACATTCTGAAGTTCAACAATGCCCATCGGAACCGTATACCCATATTACATCACAACAACAACAACCACATCATTTGTCGATAGTTAATAATAGTTTCACAAAAAATGCTACTAATAATAAATCTTCAGATAATTGGCATTCTGGTTCCATAATACAATCAGTTCAATCCACACATTCATTAAATAATAATTCACAAAGATTTGGAACTATTGGTATGACAAGTCATAATTCAGGCGAAGAATACGATGATGATGAAGATGAGGATGATGAAGACGATGTTGAAAGTAGTGAAGATGAAACTAAACCTTCAATAGTACGTTCTATTTTAAAACCTGATATAGACAATGATAACAGGCATTCTTCTGTTCATCATTCATCTACTTCTATCCACCCTGATAATAACAATAATAGTAGCAGTGGAAGTTGAATCTTTTCTCTTTTTATCTCTTTTTTTTTCAGATGTTTTAAATTTTCACAAAATCATCTCTATTATTATTGTTATGAATTACTACTTATTTGACTAGTCCAGTTATATTTGTGCATTTATATTGTTTAAATTGCATTTTCATGCTTATTGTGAGGTTCTTTTTCTAAATATTATGCATTTATGCTAGTTTATTTTAAGGTTTATTATTTCCACTGTTATAATTACCATTATTATATAAATCAAGTAATCATATACATTATAAAACATTACAAAAAGTTTAAGATCCAAGTATGCTTATTTTTGTGCTTAGTATTGATTAATTTTATAAAACATATACACAATATTGTTATAAAGTGACATATTAATCTGTAATAATGACAATTATGGTTATTTCTACCCTTATCCATCTATCTATCTATCCATCGTCAAGTTACTTGTTCTTTCAGTATCCAATATTCCTTCGTGAAAACGTTTATATTTTTTGTCTTATGCATTTATTGTGTAATTCTCCTCCTCCTCCTCCTCCTCCTCCTCCGGTTGATTTCATCTTTGTTTGATTCAGGTTACTTCTGGGATTTGTACACAATCAGTTACCTGTTTCAAAATCTATAAGTGTATCTATGTTTGTTGGTCTTTTATTACTATTATAATTGTGTTTATTCATCAAGTTTATGTATTGTATTGTTTCTAAATTTAATTGTTCTAGAGTATGTTCTTGAAATTAAAAAAAAAAGAATAATGTTTTGAGAAATTACTAGTTTTTCCATCTCGCTAAAGATGTCAGTAGATCTTAGATAATTAGAGACAGTTCATTTCCTATGTTGTTTTATTAGGTTGTCTGTAATTTTGTTTGTGGTTGACTTGTCTATAGGAATGAATCACCATAAGACAACTATTGAGAACTTATTGTTCTGATCTGTAGCATAGAATGTATACGAATTAGCACTCGTCCTGTGTACATAATGTATCTGCATACAAAATTACTGGGAGAGTGTGACGATTATGTTTGTCATGAAATTAACTCTGGATTTCACGTCCGATGTCAAAACTCTTTACGACATTTAAGATATGGTTTTTAATGAATATTATTTCTACTTGTTTCATGTTTGGCCACCCTCGTTGGATCCGTACTTTCAATAAAAGTGGGATCTTATCAAGTAGGTCTGAACGTGTGTCTGTGTTCTAGAACCTGACGTAGTGTGAATATCTGGTCTATACAACCACGTCCAGGTCGAAAACCAGCCTGATTTTCTCTAGTCTGCTCTTCACGAGTTTTGGTTAGGCGTCGAAGTATTATTGAAGCTAATATTTTAGACACTTTATTTGTCAAACTGATTCCTCTGTGATTGTTACAAGAGGATTTTTAACCTTCCTTATAGACTGGCACAATCAGTGATTGAGATCAATCAGATGGGATTACGTTCAGTTCCCAAATTCTACCTAAGACCTCAGTTAATCTCACTGCTAATACTGAACCACCATCCTTAAAAATCTCAGGAGTAAACCTGTCAGGGCCTGCTGCTCTCCCTCGTTTCAGAGTTCCTATGGCTTTTTCAACTTCGTAAAGAGACGGAGGACCTACATTAACTTGCCATTCAGGTTGGTTGGAGATCGTGAGAAACCGAAATATGGCTGAAGGCCAGTTGAACTGATCCCTAAATTGTTCTGCCCAACGATCCAGTCTCCTGGATTGATAATGTATAATATATCCATCTCTCTCTGAGATTTTTTCGCTAACAGTCGGGTTCCTAATACCTGTTTCCTTAACAAGTCTGAACAATTGTCTGCTATTACCTATTGCCACTGCCTTTTCTATCTCTCTTGCTTTCGCTACCCACCACTGTTCACGATAACTGCGTAGACTTCTTGTCAGCTTGCGATTAAGCTGACTCCGCTCTTCATTATGTTCAGAGCCAGGTGGAATGAGTTTCCGAGCATCTATCAGTGCGATAGATGCTGCTGAGATCCAGTGTTTCTTCCTAACCTTGTGGTTTACCTTACTAGTAGATATCACTGCTGTTTCCACAGCTTTTCGGATATCATTCCATGTTGCCTCGGGGTGGGCATCACCTACATGGCTGCCTGGCTGTTTTCCTAGTTGCTCATGAAATATACTCTTAGCTTGACTATCATTAAGTAGGGCCCTAAGAGGTTTCCTTGCAGCGTCTTTCCTACGTCCAGTAAGACGCAGACAGATACGCGCTCGTACTAGAGCATGATCTGAATCTAAGCATGTGCTCCAGAATGAGCGACGGTCTTCTATCGAACCCCTCCATCGGTGGCTGATGGCGATGTGATCTATTTGGGTCCAACGTTGGGACAAATTAGGTGGTCGCCATGTTAAAAGATGTTTTTCCTTATGCTTAAAGTTAGTATTAGCAAGAAACGGGCGGTTATCTGAGCATAGCTGCAACAGACGGTCGCCATTATCTGTTCTTTGAGCCACGATGCTATAAGATCCACCTAGGTGTCTTTCCCTTTCACTTAGTTTACCTACTTGAGCATTAAAGTCACCAGCCACTATTACTACATCCGAGCGCCTAGCTTTTCAGAGAAGGTCGGAAAACGTTCTGTAAAACTCGTGTTTTACATCTCAGCTGTAGTCAGTGGGAGAATAGGAAGAGACGATGAAGAGGCAACGACGAGTGTCCTTATCTTTCCGGATCCTTACTATTCCGTTTAGTCGGACAGCGCACAAACGACTGTCTACTGGGATCCACTCTAAGAGAGCTAGTTCTGCCTTAGGACTCAATGATATAACTACGCCGGCGAGGTCACGGGAAGCAGAATCAGGGCTTCCAGATACACGAAGTGTAAATCGAGTCGGTTCTTTATTTTGGCATGGTGAGGTCAAATGAGTGACGCTACTCGGATCCTGTATGCGCGTTTCGGAGACGCAGCACACATCGATGGCGTGGGATTCTAATGTCCTAGCTAAGGAAGCCTGCTGTCCTATTTGGCAAAGTGTTCGTACGTTAAAAGCTCCTACGTGTAGTTTAGAGAGTGGTTTCAGGAGACCAGGAATAACGTTCCGCGTACTCGAATCGTTTGCCCTAGCGGTGCGAGGTGAATAAAGGACGTGAGAAGGGTTAGTCGTGGAGATAAAAGAGGTATTAGGAGGTGTAGGAAGGATTTGAATGTGATCAACTTGGTTTCGTGCGCTGTTACGGGTATGAGAGCTGATATCACTTTCGGGCTGCCCAAACTGTGGAAGGGTATTTCTTGAGGAACCTGAAAAAGAAGTTGGATTAGTGTTGGTCTTATCGACCTGATAGCGTGTCCTCAGAGCCAAAAGGACAACTGCTTGAGGCCGGTCGCGCACGGCCTTTTCGTGGAAGGTTTTTAATGTGTTAGCTCCGTTCTTCAAAGAGCCTTACCGCCGGAGACGGAAATCCGTGAGGTAAGGTGAGGGGTGACATTTTTAGGGTCGACCTTTTCCAACCCCACCCCTCCTTGTGGGAAGGCAGCGTCGCTGCAGATGCTGGTTATCTGAGGGAAACACCTTACTGTTGTCACACCACTCTACAGTCAGCAGTACGACTTCGCCCTCAGACTTTGAGTTGGTGCTTTTAGTCTTACCGTCCTCTATCCGATGTGCCTGGCATGGTAGAACCTACAGGAACATATGTTCCAGCCAATATAGCTCGGTTGGGTCATCACGATAGGCAATTGTGACCATTAAGTCAAAGTACCAGCTATGGTTGGTATAAAGTTACTTAGAATTGTAAATGAATGTGCTGTTACTTTCTCGTGGTGATATTATCTATTTTAAATGATTTTCGTTTAAACCTAAGCTTCTTTATATATTTATATTTATAGTATTTTATGAACTAATCACTTCTTTGTACTTGACGACACGCTCATTACGAGTTTCAAATATAATGCGTTCATTTGTGTTCATTTAGTTCTAATTGCTGTATATTATACTGTGTTGGGGATTCGCAGTTAACAAATGAATTCTAATACATCCAATCATTATAGGTCATCAAACAGATATTTAAGGCCAACGAAATGTCACTGAGCCCTAACCAAAACATCCGGCAGTCGAGTCACTGAGTGTCGACTAGTTCACCAATCTCCGTGAAGGTCTATGACAGCCAACAAGCATAAAATAATTGCACGCCGTGGAGTGGCTCATGTAGTAGTGGTCTCACTCTATTCCTTATACCTACTCCTGTCAATATATGTCTGTAATTACACCGCTTGTATTGTACGGTCACCATAGAAGCTATAGCAGGTCAAGTACTAATCGCAAGGTATGACTTCGACTTCAGCCGGACGGTCACACCATTCCCGTCTAATTCGAGTAGGTCATCATCCATTTGACACAGATGACCTACCCCAGTGGTCTACAGATACATGGCAGGTAAGCAAAGGAAGGGATATTAGACGGATTGATATAAGGGATCCGGGTTATTCATACAACAAGGCATGAATTAACTGGGAGAATTTAATTAATGTCATATACTCTTTCAGATGTTATATTCTAATATGAGTGTAAAGTTGTGTAGATTTTATATGTCCGTACCAGTCACTGTAGTTGATTACTGTGTCTAACGTGGAGATTAATGTATCAGAATAGTTACACAGTGGTTTACTTAGTATAGTAAGTAACGGCACCCGAGACTATGGTACACTGGAGTTCGAGTATAGCTGAATGGTGTAGGAGTTTATGGGCGCTGAGACAAACATCAACTAAGCTCGATGCAAATATACCCATCACTATGTGCACAGCACTAGTGATATCCGGAACTGCAAACGTAGTTCATAAGGAGACGCAGAGATATTCAAAAGAGTCCAGAGCACAGTTGACTGCAGACCATGTGTTAGGTCCCGATAAACATGATGAATGGTAACTTTGGGATCCTTTTATGGGCCAATACTAGAAGTATATTTTTATCGTACAGTTGTTATGTAACTAAACTGTTCATGTTCATGTTGCTCTCATTATAGGCTCTATTTTGACCTATGAACTATTGTTCTACGATTTACCATTCTTTAATTATGCCCTGTCTATTAGTCACTGCCTCACACATTCACAGCCACATTTGGCCAAATTTTGTACGAATGTTATTTTCTATTTTATGCTACGTTGTGGTCTGTTTGATTGGTATATAAACTCAGTATGTTTGAAATATAATGATTCATATTACAGAGGCTGAGACTGGTGTTCTGGACTTAACTGGCTGGGCTAGGCGGAAAGCAGGACCAATCAGGACTCTTGACTGCTCGCACTTGTTTTACGCGTCCTTGGTCTGATCGGTAATTCGATGCTTCTGGTTGGCAGTTTTGTGCTATAACACTCTGGAATTTTGAGGTTAACCACAGGCAGTATGACTTGAAAAGTTGTACTTCCTAAAGGTGTTTCATCTAATGATAATTTTTAATATACTAGGAAACGACACTGAAGTTAATGCTTCATAGTTATTTATTTCAACTATAAGTAAATAAATAATATATATTCTCAGATAACGATTTGTTACATGAATATTGCAGGTTTTAAGGAAAGGTCAAATTGTTACGAATGCAACAGGTTTTAAGTTGGTCTGTTATAGTTGTAGAAACAGGGGATAAGTTTTCGCAAATTAGAATACTGATATTACTAGAACTCTAATGTTCAATACGATAGGACACCTTAACTTGTGATACTTCAACAGGTAAAACTCCCCCCTTTGTATTTAATGATATGAGACGAAACATTTTTGAGAAATTACACAGCATATCTCATTTAGGTATAAAAGCCACTGTAAA